AATCTCTCACATGATTCGCTTATTGTTATTTGTCGTCATAGATCACATGACCCATGACGTACAACACTAGAAACCGGGTTTCGATACCCGTGGTGGGCAGAGTACAGATATTCCATTGTGTAGCTTTGTGCTTAACTTCAAACAAAACTTCTGTTCAACAATATATATAATGAAGCTTTGCACAATGATAATATTTTCTCCGATATTTAACGATATATAGTGTAGCCTTGTACAATAATACTTACTTTTTTGATATTCAACAACATATAATATGACAATACTCACTTCCTCTGATATCTAACAACTGGGTCTGCCAAGATGTCGGTACAATCGACCGTCTTTCCCTTCTCAATGACGTCAGGATGTTTTTTAACTAATAGCCATCCTATGTGTGAGAAGAAAAATCCACGTGTAGCGTTATGGGGGTCGGCGTCCGTCTCAGAAAACTTATGATGGACTCTGTGGTCTCTGGACCATTCATAGATGTCGTTCTGTAAACAAAATTAAGTTACGTTTGGTATAACTATGAATTTTAGTAAGTCTGTGGCTATAAACTAATGCAGCCGAGGAAGTTCTGAACCCTATGATGTAAACACCAAAACAGATATACTAACTGTTGTGCGGTTAAAAAACTTATCTCGAGAAGATCTGTTCGAGGGTTGCAGTTAGCAAATGTTCCAAACTTCATAAATTTTGAATAGTAGGATAACTCATTTGATAAACAGAAGTCTTAAAACAGCTAAATCGAACTAACTGAATGGAAGCTCTATTCGAATGATATCAAAAGAACAACAGAACGAAATCATTTAATTGATATCCATAGAAAGGTACTGATAAGCTTTAACAGATTGGTTTTAACAATTGACGAGTTTATTCTGTTGTTCACAACAAATGGATAGAAACATAACGTGCGCAAACTGCGCATGCCCGTTTTTTCATGAACATGTCACGAGGAATGTATATTTAGAATAACAAGACACTTGTCCGAAATAAGGATGTCAGTTGTATATTTCCCCAGTAAATACTAACTGTCGCACTAGTCAAGTAACAGTGAAGACACTATTGAAGGGTTATACTAAGGGTTATAAGTTAGTTTCTAATTATCACGAAATGAGCAATATAAAGTTGAATGATTAGGATATTTACTTTAAACAATACTGACACATTTTCTTTTTGGGGAGGGCAACAATTGGAGACATAATGAGCAGCTATGACAGAAATATTTTTAGGATAATAATGAATGACGTCATATACTGTCATAATATTTCTTACGCAAGATTTAAAAGCAAGGGCAAACAACTATAATAAATATTATATATATAGAAAAAAAAAACGCACTTAACCTTAAAATACGCATATTTATTCCTTAACACAAAACAATTATCCTATTTATAGAATAGAACAGTCTGAAGATAATTTTTTTAGCCTAACCTGTATTGATTATTTCGTTTTAACAGTAATTCTAAACAATTTCCATGGAAAGGAAATGGAAATCTAGGTGCCAGCATCCGAGAAATATACTTATTACAAGCACAATGTAATAGAAAGACGGAAAACATTTTACTTTTCCGTCTTTTTTCCTAGTGAGTATGTCCGACACATATAACTATTTACCGACTTCCGCCATTGTGGTTTTTATATTTACCATTAATATAAGGATCAGTTTCAAGCACAAAATCATCGTTATGTCCAAAAACTTCTGATTAAGATTATTCTTATGAACTCAACTATAGTCTGCTGATCTTTTGTTCTATGAATAACCACTAGCTAATAAACTGAAATATGAACTCAACCACAACCTGCTGATCTTTTGTTCTGTGATTAGCCAATAGCTAATAGATTAAAATAATTTTAACTACACTTACTTCTTTGTACAACATGGACTCGTAGCTGGAAAGTTCCAAATGATGGATTTAATTAACAGCAGACAATTATATAAAATATTATTTACAGTACTTGTCATTTGGAGCTTTAAAAAGTTCCAAAAATTGGATTAAATTAACAGCAGGTAATTGTTTAATATTAATTTACAATACTTGTCATTTGGAGCTTTGAGAAGTTTTAAATTTTGAATTAATTAATAGAAGGTAATTGTTAGAATATTATTTATAATACTTGTCATTTGGAGCTTTAAAAAGTTCCAAAAATTGGATTCAATTAACAGCAGGTAATTGTTTAAAATATTATTTACAATACTTGTTATTTGGACTTTGAGAAGACTTTTTACCCAGTGATTTCCATGCTTAATGCAATTAACCAAGGTCATATTTCATTACATGTTTTAATACTGTTTGCAAGTGTTTTAGCTACATAAATAAATGGTTTAGACAATCAGAACTCGATATCTATACCAGTAAAAATACAATTGTTCTAGTGGTAATAAATAACATTGTTCTGAAGCACTTTGTATTCCAAGTCACATGTCAGTGATGCTATTTATCACAGAATTGTGGATACCTGTTGGCTGGAGATCAGCATGTGAATAAACAGATTTATAGATCAAATTCGACAATTATGAATTAGTGATTAAAGAAACCAGAGATAAATTCAAATTATGTAAAAAACAATAAGCATACAGTTGTTTTTTGTAAACGTGAATGGGCGTCGCGGGGATCGGACGTGTCGTCAGGTGCAAAAGATTCGATTTTGAACCTCAACTGCATTTTGGTGGTCACGGAAAATTAAATCAAGTGCTGCAAAAAATACTACCGAACATGACTCTATAACTCTATTATACCGAACATGACTCTATAACTCTATTATACCGAACATGACTCTATAACTCTATTATATTCATAATTTTCTTTGTTTCTAATGTGTTTTTTCACTTTGACATGAACCTTGCTATGGACCACGTACTGAACTGTCATTGATTTACGTCTTACTTAGGCTTACGTGAGTTATTGATTTAAGAAAATAATACCCTGGCGGTGCTGCTGTAAAAATGCATCATATTTCTTACCTGAAATGCCACCGAGTTAAAGAATGCCAACAGTAGTCTCAGAGGCCACTTGGCTTTGTAAGATCGATGTGCCCATAACCGGTGAACTCCAGCAGTTATGCCTAAGCCTGATATAACGTACAATACAAACGCTGTGAAAGGAAAAAAAAAGGAGCAAAATTTCAGTATAGGAACCAGTTTTAGAATTTACTGATCTATCAGTGCTTTCACATCTTTATTTATCTTATAGTTATTTATTTACAAGTTGGATATTTATGCTCAACTAAAATTTGGAACTCGCTCTTAGGAGCGTTGTAAAACTCAACAGTAAGTTTCTTAAAAAACAACAATAACAACAACACACTTATTTCAATCATTAAAAGGAAACACGAGATGCACGTCATTTTTGTATTTATACTAGAACTGTAGTTGTCTTGAAAAAGTGACTCAGTTAGTCATTTGATTCTCTGCCACTTGAAAGGTCAGTAAGAACGACAGAGAAAAACTATTACAGTTATTATATTGATTCACAGTCATAGTGTAATTTCATTAAGAAACTATTTTTCTCCAGCTTCAGAAATAGCCCCTGGTAGAAAAATGGTTAATACGAGCGAATTATCAATCACGGGAAAGAAAGAGACTCAATATAGATGTAGACAATTGGATCCTACCATTGTTTCTCTAGTATGAACTGAAATCGTGACGTTATGGGGAAGTCAAACTATTTGTAATCAGCATTTATAAAGTATACATATTGGCCGGGAGTAGCATAAGGGGTAGTGTATAGAACAAGGGAATAAAAAGCCCATAGTTTGCGCCCCATTGCCACAGAAAGAGAGAGAAAGAGATGGAAATGGTGTTTTTCACGATTAAAGTAGCTGGAGATGAGTGCTGTTGTCTTCCCTATCAGTACATAGTAAGGGATATATTGTGTAGCTATTTGCGAATTTTCGAAGCAAGTTATACTTATTATTATTATTGAAGTTACTTTGTGGTGAAATGCAAGGAACAAACAGAAGGCGTTTACATTCTTGTTCATGCCAGCACGGCTATTAATATTAGTCCCGAAATGCAATTCATTAGAACCTATCACAATATTTTGATAAAACAAGTAGATTTTGCTAAACTAAAAATTGAAAATGCTGCAATATTTGATACTCTGATTAATCCTTTTGACTAAAACGGGAAAATAAACAATGGGCCCATTGATACAAATATTTTTAGGAAGTCGACAACTTTCTTTGCAAATCTAAAGGCTTTTTTTTTTCAAACATTAAACACTATTTTCATCTTTTTTGCAAACATTGTAATATTTCTCAGTTACTTGGATTCTGCAGAACATTTAATGAAGTGGAATAACTAATTTCGAATGTTAGTATTTTAATTATCATACTTAGATATATTTCAACATCAAGATTTATTCGGCCTAAAATTTGTGATAAAAATCATGTTATCGTCATTTTTAGAATTATTACATTGTGTATATAAATAGTGTTTTCGGAGATTCTTGTCACATGGTTCAATCGAACTGACAAGTTCCAGTATTGTACTGTTGGACAGTGATCTGTGAGAAACAAACGATAGATCTGAAATGCTATTTTTACCCGTCTCTGATTTTGAGTCTGCAGGGGACAAGTTATGATGAATGTGAGGGGAAAAAACATCTGCAGTTAAACTTAGTGTGATTTTATCAAAGATTTTAGGCCTATTAGTTTCTAACGCTTTATATGCTTTTGGTGTTTATAGCACAGCAAGATTTATTAACATATCTCCAAAATTTATAATAGTTCGTATTAAAATTGTTGCCAAAAGTTGAAAGTAACGTCATAAGAACTTTACACAAAACGGTGAAATATTGTTACAATAAATTGCTTTATTAGTTCTGTTGAATTTTCTGCAAAGCTACTCGAAGGATTAATCGTCACATTATAATCCCTCAGTGGCTGAAAGGGTGAAAACGTTCGACGACTAATTTTGATATTGTAATTTTCACATTGTGAGAGGAGATCCCTATAAACTATCTCTCACAAACACACACACACACACACAGTAAGAGCATTTTCGTATTATAACTAATACATTTCTGAAGCTCTGTATCTCACCACGTGTCAAAGTAACCTTTGGTGGCTAACACACGTGATTACCGAACACCACTTATATGACTAAGCGCTCCTATTTTAACAAGTATGCTAGTGGAGAAGGATGTTATGCTACAGCACTGGAATTCGAAGGGCGAATTACAAGTCTCTCTACCACTTTTAATACTAGTATTTAATAACCTAGTCATCTTAAATTTCCTTCTGTTGTTCCTATATGTATGCGATTATTATAGAGGTTTCGAATATCAACACCAGAATAAACTATCTTTTTAATTATTACTCTCAGCGGTAAGTCTGAAGGCTTATAACGCTAAAAAACGGGTTTTGATATCCATGGTAGGCACAGCATATAGCCCACTGTGTAGCTTTTGCGCTTAAGAACAAAGAAAGAAACAAACAAACAAGCGGTGTGAAGTATTTTTAGTAATTTGTTTTTATTTCATTGTAGTTGTGTTTCATTTGGAAAAAAAAATGGTTTTATACAACTGGCTGCGGAGACAAATGCAGCTGTTCTGAGTTGGAAGGATGTTGTAACCTTCTATAACTGCTATAAATTTTTTTAGCTTCGTTTCACATGTGAGGCTAGCGATTAAAAGTTGAAACTGGTGTATTCTGGTTGCAGCATTTTATAAACAATTTTTTTCTGTTGTTTGTGCTCTTATTCAGTTTCGTTGTACAATATGTATGATTCCAATTTTTTGCCTACTTTTTTGAAATTCATCTTTCTTGACTTTCCAAGAACTTTAATAAATTACATATTTTTTAGAATAGTTGATCATTTTGTGACGGAGAAAAAATTACATTGTGACAATAATTAAATCAATTTTTGAAATATTTCGCTCACGTACGCAAAAGATCATTGTTTCGACTCCAACAAGCTACCTGACCTGGAACCTAACAGTATATTGACAGACTTAAGTGAAAGAAAACTAACTATTCATTTACAATATAAAAAAATAACTTAAAATACAATTTATAGTGTTAGCATTGCTTTATAAAAATACCACTAGAAGACAATACAATTCACAACTTTTCAAACAGAAACTGTATTAATTGTCGACTTAAAAAAAGACTGAGAAAACAAAACAAAAAAAAAAAATAAAGAGAGAGAGAGAAAAAAAAAGAGAAGGATTGAATTAAGAAAACTTTCATTCGCAAATTAAATGGAAAAAAAAGACAACGTTTTCCACTCAGATTGAACATCTGTAAAATATTCCATATCTCTTGTGAAAATCTATAAAAATAATTTGATACTTTTAATGCTATTATTTCAATAATAGTTATAACTCAATACAGAAATAATTTTATGGTTTCATTATGTTCATACTAACAGCATAAAGTTATTGTATTAGTAATTCAAGTGGTTGCGAGTTAATAAAATTATGATTTAAAAAAAAAAGTTTATTACTGAAGTTTCTATGGTAGAGCTCTGAATTATGGAGCTGGCGAACCGGGTTCAAATACATGCAATATCGGAACATTTTAAGATGTGGATGCGTTACAAGAGTGACAGTCAATCCCTTAGCATGATTGGTGGACGGCGGCTGACAGCCTATGTTGCTTTGTCATAAATGTGAATATGCTAGTTTTTATTTTTACTCTCTTGTCAGTTTATAGCGCTTTGTTCACAAAGGGTAAATCTACCGTTATCGAAGGTTAATAGCTGCAACTGTTTTATTCTATCATCGCTAAACATTGTGCAGCAACCATGACGGAGACGTGAAATTATACGACGATTATGGGATACTTTTTCAGGAAATTTTCGAAGAATACCAAACAAATGTCATTAAATTTGGAAAATATCTAAAATATATGACTGTTTAAAATACAACGGACCCGAGCCTTATTGGATAATGTGAAATGTCACTTTATCTCATAGAAAAGCGTCAAAATGTTTGTTGTTAAGCGCAAAGCTACATCATGGGCTATCGGTGTTGTGCCCATCATGAGTATCGAAACTCGGTGTGAGAATTATCGTTGAATCACCGTGGCAGGGTGATCTTGTCTGCATTCATCAGTTACGGCCACAAGGGGGCACGAAGGATTATTCATTTGTTTGCTTGTTCACCATGGGGACTCAAACCCTGGATTTTATAGTGTTGTACGTTCGTAATTTTATCGCTGATCCATTGAAAGACGACGAGAAGGCACGTGGATACTGTTGTGCGACAGAAGCTGTAACGACCTTAATACCAACTAGTTCGGGGTTGCCCGGTATTTGTGCAAGCCAATAATTTTTTCACTCGGGTAACCAGCCCAGATGGCAACTATATAGGACGAGCATTCGGCGACAATGATTCGAAATCGCAACCTTCCGATTACGAGTCGAGCGCCCTAACCACAAGCCATGCGAGGCTCAAGCCATAAACTTTATATTATTTATGGAAAATTAAATAGGAAAAATTACGCACTCTATCAGAGCAAGTTGCTTTATGATAAGCTATAAGACACTGCCACGCAGCTAATGCAAAAAATAATAATACTTAATACAAAGTAATTTCAAAGGTTGGCTATTAAGAGTATTAACGGTTATTAAAATAGTATTTCCAATTATATGCTTCATTAAATCCACTAAAATGACAAGGTACATAAATTAATAGTCTGAAAACAGTTGTACTAGCTAATACTTAACGTGGATAGTCTATTAAATATAGAACCTGCCCCAATTAAAAAATGCATACGGTCAACTCTTCCCAATTTGTAACACACACCGTATATTGATCATTTTTACTTCCTATGTAAATAGTTTGAAATTAAATCTTAACAAGTATTTCAGATTTAAATTTCAGCACCTTTGGGAAGATTTAATCATATATCTAAATGTAATTTTCTCTTAGTTATCTATAATTAAATATATTTCATTTACAAAATGGGCGCTATAATACACAGTCACTGCAGAGTCTGCTG